TTGTGTGTGTGCCTGCACCTGTGCCACGGCTGTCTGTGGGAGGGGTTGTATGGTTCTGTGTGTATTCAGGATGGGCCCCACTGACAGGGCAGGGCTGGCCGCAGGGTCTTCAGGTCGCTGTGCCCCAGGCCTTTCTTCCTCGGTGCCGCCACCGGGTGGGCTCGAACTGCCAGCCTTGCAGTTAGCGGCCGAGCACTGAACTGTTTCTTTCCCTGTCTGCCTGTCCCTTGCTCTCCCAGCCCAAGGACACGTGTGGAGGAACACACTAGGCGTCTGCTGGACAGCGTAGCCCCTGACGTTCCTGAGGGGGGTGGGGCAGCAGTGCAGTGTTCGGCTGCAGTGCTCACAGGTCAACAGTTCTAACCGCCCCAGCAGCTCCCGGACAGACAGACAGACAGACACGACTGCTGCGGTGTCGGAGCCGTTGTGGCAGAGGGGCTTCTTTGATGACCTCGAGTTGAGCACGGCAGGACGCCCTCCTCCAGATCCCTCCTGATGACCTGCCCAAGCCCTCCTGTCAGGGGACAGCCGCGAGTGGGCGCTGCCCAATGGCCGAGGGGTTGCTCCCGCGATGCCCTGGGCACACCGGGGTTGCCCCGGCTCGGGACCACGGACGCAACGGGCGGCTCACTCCTTGGGGTGGGGCCGTCCTAGTGCTTAGTGGCAGCCCTGGGCATGACCCTGCCTAACGGCCCCTCGCCCCAGCAAGACCCATATTACTGGCGACACCCATGCCAGCCCCGACCCCCCGAAACAGCTTTGGTATTATTCTGCGCACCAGACCCTCAGCAGTCCAGCCTTGCTCCAAAGACACACACAGCCGGCCGCGCGGCCGGAGTGCGAGGGGGGCGGGATCCCCAAGGCTGTGCTCTGGACAGAGCGGCGGCCGGCCGGGGTCTCCTTGCGTGGCACCGCGGGCGTGGCTCCCCGTCTGCGCCAGCGGGGTCCCGGCGCACGAGGCTGCTTCACAAACCGTCGGCGCCTCGGCGTCTCCGCGTCTCTGGTGGCGCGGCGGGATGCGCCTCTGGGAGAGTGGGCGTCGGTTCACCTTGGACTGCTAACCACAAGCTCAGCGGTTCGAACCCACCAGCCGATCCGAGGGAGGAAATCGAGGGCTTCTATTCCATAAAGAGGTACAGTCTTGCAACCCCCCAGGGGCGGCTCTACGCTGTCCTGCAGGGTCGGCACCCCTCGGTGGCAGGGGCTTCGGGTTTTCCGAGTTCCGAAGACACCCGATTTCCCACAGAGCGAAGGGGAGCCGGCGTGGACCACGGCCGTGCTCACGGCGCCCTGCGCAGCCCATCTCAGCCGTTCTCTCGGGGTCCCCAAGCGAGGAGGCTCGTCTGACTGTGCTCTGCGCTTCACCAGGGCCAAGCCAGTTCTCTCCGAGGTCCGCCTGCACCTCACTGGGCGGGGGAGGCGCGGGTCACGGAACACTTGCCTTCCTGGGCCATGGAGATCGCGGAACTGGAGCAAGAACAGCTCCACAGGTCAGGCGACAGTGGACAGGGCAGCTGTGTCGCACAGTGGGGGCGCCTGGGGCTGCGGCCTGTCCGGGGTCCATCCTGACCCACGGCGACCCAACCGGGCCGGGAGGAACTGCCCCTGGGGCTTTCCAGGCCTGTCCATCTGGCCTTTAGCCACCCACCAAGTAGCCACCAAGCTCCCAGGCTCCCAAAACTGAAACATACAACTTTCCTCTAGTTCCTAAATGCTTCCTCCACCCGCCCAGCCCCCCACTATCATGATCCCAATTCTACCTCACAAATCCGGCAGGCCAGAGGATGTACAGTGGTACAGACCGGAACTGGAAACACAGGGAATCCAGGATGGATGATCCCTTCAGGACCAGTGCTGAGAGTGGTGATACCGGGATGGTGGAGAGAGGGTGGAGTGGAAAGGGGGAACCGATTACAGGAATCTACATATAACACCCCCCCATGGGGGACGGACAACAGAAAAGTGGGTGAAGGGAGGTGTCGGACAGTGTAAGACATGACAACATAATAATTTATAAATTATCAAGAGTTCATGAGGGAGGAGGGAGCGGGGAGGGAGGGGAAAATGAAGAGCTGATACCAAGGGCTCAAGCAGAAAACAAATGTACAAATGTGCTTGACACAACGGATGGGTGGATGGATTGCGATAAGTGTTGTACGGGTCCCCAATAAAATGATTTTAAAAACAACAACTGAAACTCTTTGGGAGCAGGCAGCCTCATCTTTCTCCCCGCCTCCTCAAATCGGTTGGTGGGTTCAAACTTTTGACCTTGTGGATAGCAGCCCCAAAGAATAAACCACCACCTCACCAGGGAGCTTTGCCTACTCCAAAGACCAAAACCAAACTCATTGCCATTCAGTGGATTCCAACTCGCGGACCCTACAGGACAGGGGAGATCCGCCCCTGTGGATGTCCGACACTGGGACTCTGGACCAGGGTACAGAGCTTCCTCGTCGTTCTCACTGGGAGCAGCTGCTGGCTTTGAACTGCCGACCTTGCGGTTAGCACCCAGTGAGTAACCACTACGTTACCAAGGCACCTCTGCGAGGGTTCAAACCTTGCGACCATCGGCTAGTCAAATTCGTAGCTGTTTGCACCACCCAAAGCCACTCGGGGAGGAAGGGGAGAAAGGTGGTGCATTGACTTGTCAATTCCTGCCTGCCAACAGCGACCCTTTAGGGCCGAGTACAACTGCCCTGTGCTGTAGTCTTTGCAGAAGCCGACTGCCACCTCTCTCCCCCACGGAGAGGCTGATGGATTCAACCTGCTAACCTGTCTGTCCACTGACAGCCAAGCCCCCAACCAGTGCACCCCCGAGATCCCCTGGTAATGGCCACAGCCTTGGAGGCACCGGCGCAGCCCTGTTTGGGAGCCGGGCTTTCCCTGGTGGTCTTAAACCTCTCGGTGGCAGAGATCCACCCAGACGGAGCCCACGTGCAGACGCTCAGAGAAGAAAGCCTTCCCCTGGGGCAGCAGCCCTGAACCCCGCCCTCTTGAACTGTGAGGAAACCAACTGGTTCCTCGAAGCCAGCCACAGACAGACTTGCGGTATTTCTGAG